TTGTGTTCCCTCTCTCGCTGTGTCTCTCTCTGTCACATAAATAAATAAAATCTTAAAAAAAAAAAATTCCCAGGATCGAAACTGCATCTGACATAAAGCCTGGTAAGCCCTGTCCCTCCCCAGGCCCATGCTGCTCCTGTCTGAGGCTGAGGAGCCAGACTGCACAGGAGAGGACTGAGCAAAGCCTCTCCGCTTCCCTTACCCCTCCCTGGCTGGTGCTCGCCTCTGGGCAGGGACGGGCACCTGTTTTGAGCCCCACAGCCCCACCCAAGCCAGGCTGCACACAGTGTGTCGGAGAGAGAGCAGTCCCAGCACCGTGATGCTGACGCAGCTGGGCCAGCAGCTCAGAGCTCAGTCCACACTCACAGGTGCACCCAGTCACCCTGTTCCAGGCCACCGTCAGAGGGTCCAGGGCTATTCAGCTGCCTCCCAAAATCCAGTTACAGAAGAATCTTCAGTTTTGGCATCAGAGTTCTCTCCTGTACCGCCTGGCCACAAAATAAGACCTGTTTCTGTGTGGGGTTGGCAGAAACGAGGGAGCAGACAGAGATTCCCCCAGAATCCCCAGCGGCCACTCAGGGCCCAGCTGACAGGGACCCTGGGCTGGAGGCTTCTGTGTGGCATTTGCTTCTACAATCCTGGTTTCTCTTCACCTGACTTGCAGCACCCCGGGGCCTGAGATGAGAGCCAGGCCCGGTCAGGCAGTCATCGGTCCTGTGGCACCCCCTGCTGGTCACTACAGGAAACCACACAGCAGGCCTGGGCCCGCCAGGCTCAACCACTCAAGAGGGAAGACCTCTGTTTCCCTACAGATACCGCACGCTACAGACGAAGCAATTGAGGCACAGTGGCTGGAACAGAGCAAGGGCCCAACACAGTTGTTGAATTAATGAAGGAGGGAGGGAGTGAACTGCCACAAATAAATAACAAATGATCCTTTAAAATATGGCATAAAACCTGCGAACACCAATATTTGTTGAGTGCCGGGCACTCGGCCAGGGGCAGAGGGTGCCTTGTGGCATGGCAGTGGATAGAAAACCCGTACTAATGACCATCAGTAGGAGAGCCAGCTGAGTCCAGACTATGCCAGGCCCATAGGCACACAGACTCCCATGCTCTGGGATAAAGCCGACACTCTCCGACAGGCTGTGCTACTGCCCAAGGTCACATGCTGCTTAAAAGTGCAGCCATGAAGGAGATGTACCCACCCCACCCCGAGGCCCAGCAAGGACACCACCTGGGACACAGCCACACTGGCCACCCCAGAAGCCACAGGGCTCAGAGTCCCCCCAGGAGGACTTCTTGGGGTGTCTGCCATACCCCATGTCTCCCTTTCTCCCTCCAGCTATTCCCCCACCCACCCACCCAGTGCTGCACATCCCTCAGCAGAGTGTCCCAGGCACGTCACAATGAGCAGCACCCAAGAAAGCCTGTGAGAGAGGGTGCAGCTCACTCCCGGGGCCCTGGGTGAGGCTTGTCAGAACCATGGCCCCACTACTCCTTGTGATGCACCCAGTGCTTGTGGATTCCAGAACAATTTTGCAGGAAGGAGACAGAAGCAGGGCCCTCCCCACCAGAACACAGATTACCGTAGAGCTTTTGTAACTAAGACTGTGTCAGATTGGCAAGGGCTAAACAAGAAGACCTACAAATAAACAAACAAACAAAAATCCAGGCCAGGTACCTTCACCAGCTAAATGTGAAAAGCAAAACTCCTACACGTTTAGAACAAAATAGGGCAGAATATCTTCATGAGCTCTTAAGCAGCACCAAACACACACGCACACACACACACACACACACACACACAGGGAAAGACGGATGAAACTGACTACATTCAAATGAAAAACTGCTGGGCTAATGAATAAGCAAATAAACAGTGAAAAGCCACGCAACAACCCAGGAAATGGTATTTGCAATGTGTGTAGCCAACGAAGGGTTGGAATCCAGGATGAATGAAACACTCCCTCAGAGCAGTAAGAAATGGAAAAACAGCTCAACAGAACGCTCAGGTTCCGGGGAGGCACTGGGCAGGAGAGGAGATGCGGGTGGTGCCAGGCAGAGGAAAGACGCCCCCTCCCCCAGACACAGGGGACGGCAAAGCCACACAACAGTGCAGCAGCACAGCACGCCATCAGGTTGCTGGTGAGGATGTGCAACGGGCTCTCTCCTGGCTGGAGGAGGGCGGTCTGGGAAGCAATTGCAGTATCTGGCCAAGCTGAAGGCCATGCATTCTCCCCCCTCCACAAGGATGCTCTCCTCCAGCAGAGGCCTTGGAGGGACTCCGGGAAAATCTGAGCGGGAACACTCGGGATCAGAAACAACCAGCCTGCCCTGTGAGCCAAGCAGGGGTAAGTGTATTGAGTGTCAATGTTACATTCAAACACCAGAAGGGTATGCCACGGTTAAGATAGTCAAACAGAGCCTGTGACACAACATGGGTAAATTTCAAAATTATAGTTAGGTTAAGTGGCAAGGGGATACATTCAGCAAGATCCATTGGCATTGAGTTTTAAAACATGCTAGGCAAGATCTCTATATAACTACATTCATGGTAACATATAAAGATGTGCGCTAGGGATATAGTCAGAAATTACTGGGGGCTCCAGGGAGGGCAGGAGAAAGGGTGCTGGGTGGGGAGGTTCACAGGGTGCTCGGACTGTTATTACTTTTTTTAAACAAAAATCTCAAGCAAATGGGAACTATGGTAGAATATTAAGACTTAGCAAAGCCGTGATGGCAACTGATGTTTACTATCATTGTCTCTGTATTTCTCTGAATGCTTCAACAGGTCGCAATAATTTAAGAAAGCTGGCTGGGAGCTCCACACCCCAAGAAGGAACATTCCTGTGTGGTGAGCACAGGGCATTCATTTAGCTCAGCCCTGAGCACTGGTGCTTCACAAACACCCCACTATCCCAGTGGCCCTCAGTCATGGCCTCAAAGGAGAACCAGCCAAGGTGTGTTTGAGAAAGATATGTGCGCCCGCTCCCAGAAACAGATCTTGTTGGCCTGGGATAGGGCCAGGGATAAGTGTGTCCTTTTAAAAGACCACCAGAGGTTCTGTTGTCTGGCCTAGCATGCTCCCCAGCACCCAGCCCGGCCCAGGTAGCAGGCGCGCCTCCCGGATGGGCAGCAATCCCAGGCCCCCAAGGACTCCAGTCCGTTTGGCCTGCCTCTCTGTACCTGATCCCACAGTCATCTCTCTCTGGGCCCTCAGCTCAGGGAGTACTCTCACGTGGAGTTGAGTGTTTATGGCGTGTTTCATGCAGGGCGATGCGCTACATGCTTGGCGAGCGTCTTCTCACTTGCCCTCACTTCAGGCCTCTGAGGCAGGTAGTATCGGCCTCACTTTAGAAATGAGGAAATAACCCAACCAGGGGCATGCAAGGAACCAGTGGAAGGGCAGAGGGAACCCAGGGCTGTCTCACTCCTGGGTTGCGACACCTTTTTGCCCACCTTTAACTTAAGGCGCCCCCTTTAAGGCCTTGATATCACGCCTCTTGGAATGAGCCCCCTGTTTAAAAATGTTCATTGCACCACGTGACAGGGCGGACGTGAAACTGACACAAATCTCAACCCTCTAGCTGTAGTGGGTGGGTGGCCGTCACCCTGGACTCTGCCTCTAATCAGCAGGAGCACTCAACTGAAGGGGACCTCAAGCCCGGGGGGCAGGCTTTCTTCATTCCTTAAACGTGCTATGGCACATTTCACAAATGAGGGCTATAATCATCAGGGAAACACAAATTAAAACCAAAATGAGACACTACCACACACCCACCCACCAAAATAGCTAAAATAAAGAGCCAGGAAAGATCAAGTGTGGGTGAGGATCGAGAGCATGTGGAACTCTAAGACACTGCTGGTGGGAGCGTAAATTGGTATAACTATTTTAGAAAACCATTGGTGGTACCTTCTAAAGCTGTACATAAACTTGTCCTATCCCCAGCAATTCCCCTCCCAGGTATGTCTCGAAAGAAATGCATCTATACGTCCATCAAAAGGCACTCACAAGAATGTTTATAGACACTCTATTCTTGGTAGCCATACACTAGAAACAATTCAAATGTCCGTTGACAACAAAGTGGATAAAGAAACTGTAGTATACTCATATAATGTGAATACCACACTCTAGCGCAAATCAGCAAAAACCATACATGGATCTCAGAGACAAAACGTTGAGTCACAAGAAAGCTAGAAACAAGATGTTACAGACTGTATGTTTCCACTCACGTAGAGTTTAAGAAAAGACATAAAACAATCTATGGTTTCATAAATAGAAGATACTGTTTCCCTTTGGGTGAGGGATAGTAACTGGTCTGGGGCATGTGGGAAGTTTTTAGAGTGGTGGCGATACTCTAGAAGTTACTCAATCTGGGTAGTGGTTCCATGGCATGTTCACTTAGTACAATTTAATAAAACGTTCATGTATGATTTGTGCCTTTTTGATATGTACCATCAGTAAAAGCATAACTTTTTTTTAAAAAAATGTGCTCTAGACCACGATCTGCAGCATGGCACATGAGTGACCTGGAGTGGAGACCGGGGGCCACCTGAGTGCCCACGGAGAGCCTACCTGAGGGGAGCTGGGCCACGTGCTTCAACGCCAGGTGCAAGTTCTCTCGACAGGCTGGCTGAGGGTCGTTCAGCAGGTAGGACAAGGCAGGGATGACATCGTGCTTTAAAAAGCCCTCTCTGGGGAAAAGAATTCAGATTTAGACACAATTAAGACCATGCCCAGAGAGGATCCAGTTAAGAGCAAGGAGGAAGGTGCCCACCCACAGCAGGCCACATTCCTCCAGCTTCCAAGGAGAAGAAAAAGGCCAGAGGTGGACAATCTATTACAGCATCTCTAGAGGCCATGAGAGCAGTGTGGCTTGTGTGTGAGTGGAAGGAACCACATGTTGGAATCACATAGCTCTGCCCCTTCCTTAGCTAGGACTCCGATGTTCTTTGTGCCCCCAGATGCTTCCTTTTACTCTTGTGAGTGTCAGTCCTATTATCTGTAAAATGAGGATGGGCAGCAGAACCTCACAACTGACCCACCCTGAACTTCGGGGATCCACCCACCAGGGCACACACCCACTGATGCTCCAGGCTCTGCAAACTCCGCCCCTTGAAGTCCCTGCCTCTTCCCCCAGCTTGCCAACATCCAGATGCTTACCTCCAAACCTATGTAGCCTGTTATGCTGCTTGTTATAATTATATAAGTTAATTAACTATTAGGTAAGCCAATTAGATGTGAGAAGAGTTGTTGTTTTTTGTTTTTTTTTTTTTAATTTCCTTATGAAAACAAAGTTGATTGCTTTGGGAAGACTCAAAAGTGAGTCTCAAAAAAAAAAAATGAGATGACTATAAAAGATTCTAGAAGGTTTTTACATGCAGATTACTCCATTAATGTCTTTGAGTTCTCGCTCTATTGGGAAGAAACCAAAGTTGCAAATTAGATGATGTTATAGGTGTGGTTTAAGCAAAAAAGATGATGGGAAACACCAACCAGTGGGCCCACACCCAAGAAGAGGCCCTGGGTGGCACACAGGGATTGGTGAATGCCTAATTATTTGTGCCTGGGGTTAAAATGAACAGTTTAAAGGGAATGTACAATTTCTTCAATTGCCGGCTTTGTAACCATTTCTTTTGATTAACTGCTGGGCCTGAGCACATCTGGCATGAGGGCTTCTGAGGTCATATCTCTCAGGCCTGGGGTCAGTGAGGACTCAGTGTGATGCCTTTGCCCAGGGCCTGACACACAGGAAGTGCCCAACCAATCGTGCTCATGCCCTGTCGGCCAGGATTTAACCTACGGTGAGTTCTGAGTCATTCCGGGACAAGAAAATCCTAGCAGGGCACCCCGGTTGCAGGAGACTTCCCTGACGGCCCATCATGAGGTGTCTGGGCCTCTTCAGTCAGTGCTAGTCGCCCACTCCCTGTCACTCCTGCTTTGTAAGGCCGCCATATTTGCCCTGAGGGCATCTGCCCCCCACACCAGCAGGTGAGCCGGGGGAGCTAGACCTCCTGGAAGGCTCTCCCGTTTGTGGGCTGTCATACCAACTGACTCCTCAAGGCGACAAGACGTCAAGCCCCAGGCTGCTACCCTCATCCCCTCTTCCTGTTGCTACCGGTGTGGGTACAAGAGGTACAGAAGTTTCCACATGAGCAGTTACTTAGAGCTCGACAGGCTCCACAAGCTACTGGCTTTAAGTTATAAGATCCCACTGAACTGGGGACAACTTCAGAAATTGGCCTCCGTTACTTTTGGCCCTTTGCATTCTTCATCTACTGTGGTGTGGTGGAGTGAGACAGAGTTTGGGAATCCTGGCCCCTGGTCTCTTGGCTCTCCCCCTGACACCTGGAGGTGGCAGCGTGAGGGATGGCAGACACTGAAGGAGTGTGCGGGCCAGGCCATAGCAGGTCCTTGGTCAGTGATCCTTGCTTCACTGCGTGTCCCCCTCCCCCCATCCCCTGCTACCGTGGCCATATCCCCCAACCTCCTTCTGCCACTAAACAAACCAACAGGCACCCCCACTAGGCTCACAATTTCCTTGTACTTGGCCAAGCTCCAAGCACTTCTCCCCACAGTGTCTGTCAGCCCTTGTTGGGGGGCTACCACTTAATGTCCACATTGGGTCCAGAGAGAGAAAAAAGGAACACGAAAAATGAGAGGCGCTTCAGTCCTCTATGCTCCTAAGTATTAAAGCACTTTCCCTGGGTCTGTCTCAGATAAGCACAGCGAGACTCCACCAAGGTCACATCAGGAAAGGTTGGGGTCCCCCGACACCAGGGCTCCTGCTCCCCGCCACTCCTCTGCCCTGCTTGGTGCAAAGCATGTGAATTAGGGATCTCACTGTAGTACCACCTCCCCATACGCACCCCGTTCATTCATAGCGACCCATCGGGCCAGGGCTATACACGGTTCAGGCTAACCACGTCCCCTTCTGGGGACCTGAAATTAGAACCCAGAGAGGAGTCAGGGAGTGGGGAGGTCAGGGGGACTGAGGGACCGACGCCCCCATCTGGAGATGGCCCTGAGCAAGCGGAGTGCCAGTTCACAGAGACTATCTGCAGGGAGAAGGCGGCAGCGGTCCCCAGAGAGAGGAGCACCCAGTGGCCACCCAGGCCAACGTGAGGCCAACGTTTCGGGGCTGAGCACTTCACATGCGCCAACCTATTGTACTCCCTGCCCCCACGAGCAGGTGCAGACGAGGACACTGGGGCACAGAGAGCTTGAGGAGAGGCGGGCCTGAGCAACCTTACATTTCGTGAGATGCCCTGACACTCCTGAAAGGACAAGCCGGAAGACAGTGAGCATCCTGCCCCTCTATTCCTTCTTTCTGGGCATGTGCACACTGGGCAGCAGTCCCTGGGCAGGGGCTCCAGGGCTGTTTGTGGTTCTCGGTTCTGTTTTCAATACCAAGTAAAACTAGTGATCCCAGGTCAAGAGCGTGAACTGAACAGATATGGGAATGCACCCCCACCCTCCCTTTGACACACACACAAACTGACAGACAAAAATTCAGAGTATTCAAGGTCATCCAAGGGCCTGCCACCCAGGGGAGGGGTGTGGCTCCAAAGCATGACATTGGTTTCCAGAGACAGCTGCCCACCTGCCCACGTTATGGGTCGCCATGATGTAGAGCACCTCGGTGGTCTTTATCCGCACCATGTCATTGCTATCCTTCAGCAAAGCTTTCAGGCTCTCCAGGCAGCCTGCAAGGCACAAAAACCTTTGAACATCTACCAGTCTAAGAAATCAACTCACCTAGAAGTCGACGGGTGAGCCAATGTCAGGCAATAAGAAACTACCAGAAGCTCTGCTGCTTTGGGGCCTGGGGGGAATCGTGTCAGTTGCAAAGGAGTTCCGATTCACTGAAGGGGTCTCTATGGGCTAGAAAGGCTCACACAGGGGACTGTGTTATCTAACCCCCTGCACACTTCCAAATGATGCCTTGTCTCTCCGTCCACTACAGGATTAAGAAAATGGCCTTTGCATTTGAAGAGACTGAGGGGTCAAATTCTCACCCCTGTCCCCAGTTAGTCCTGTACCCTTGAATAGGTTACACCTAGGGATGCCAGGTTGAGCAAATAAAAATCCTGCTTTATTTATTTATCTGGCAACCCTAGCCTCGTACCCCTCCTCTAAACCTCCAGTTTTCTTATCTGTCAGTTTTCTTATCTTCCCTCCCAAGGCAGGTGCTATGAGAATTAAGATAACACAGGCAGTGTGCTGGGGTGGTGCTGCCCAGAGTCAGGCTTATGAAACAGCAACTCTTATTACTGAAGCTCCAACCTGGTATCCTAGGCCCTGGTTCTGGGAACCACAGCCAAATCTGGAATTAACTAGCCCTTTGCTAGGGCTGGAGAAAGAAGCAGCAATTCGTCCATCATGCGCCTGATCTGGGAAACGTGTGACCATGTCATGAAAATCACCTCAAGCCTTATTTTGATAATTAGCAGAGTGGGACACAAGGGACATAGCTCCCAGATACATGTGTGGTTTAGTAAGGCGTGTGCCTATCTTTTGTGACAGTCTCATGGATGAGATAGATAAACAGCTCTGTTTGGTGGATTTGTGGCCACCTGGTTGAGCCATAGCAGAGGGGACTGATTCGTGGCTCTGGGTGGGACGCTGGTGGTGTATGAGCAAGGACTGACTGGCCAGCCGGGAGGGACGCAGTGAAGGGACCAGGTCGTCTCAGCCCCTCCCACTTTGAGCCACTGTGTCTGTCCATCCAGACCCCAGTCATGGTCACCTGGGCTGTGACACTCTCACCTATGTCAATGGCCACGTAGACATGCTCAGGGTCGTGCATGAGGTCACACAAAGCCATGAGGGCTTTCTGCCTCGTCAGGAGGTCCTCCGACTGCAGCTCCTCGTTCAGCTTCGGCAGGGCCCGACAGCCATAGGCAATGGCGGCCTGGGCGGGGTTGATGTCGGGGGGCAGGTACATGGAGATCCGGGCATGGGCCATCTTTCCACGCCTGCAGAGGGCAACTCTCTAGCTTTCAAAACAAAGCTTTGCAGAAACCACTGATTAAGAGAACCCAAAAAGTTATCGTTATTACCACTGGGATTTAGAAGCTACTTCTCATTTGATCCTCAAAACTGTAAGGGCAGTCAGGTAGGTATCTTTATTTCCGATTTGTGGATGAGCAAACTGAGGCTGAGAGCAATGAAGGAATCTGCTCAAAGTCACAATAAAGGTCAATAGCAGCCCAAATTGCAAACTCCAGAGTCCTCCCATGCTTAACAAGAGAGGAAATCACCAATACTTTACAGGCTGGGCCTTGGGTCAAAGGCACCAAAGAGACAAAGCAGACCAAATGAGCAAACACAAATATGGTCACGATGGGGAGGACTTATCTTACGCCAGCAACACCTAGTATTTAACTCAGCTACTCCAGAAGGACAGGACTTGCGTTATCCCAATTTTACAAAGGAAGTAGTTGAGGTCTAAGGATAGGAGTTGGCTTCAGGTCATGGAACTGATAAGGCCAGGAGCCAACGTTCAAATCCAGGTCTAGTTCATTCATCCACCAGGGACCCTATTCAGATGCTGCTTCTTTTTTTTTTTTTTTTTTTATTCAGTTAGCCACTGTATAGTATTCAGATGCTTCTGACATATCCATAAAAAAAGGAATTAAGGTTAAAGTGTGATTTATTTTTTTTACACACATACACTCTTGGAGCAACTATAGGCAGTGTGGTTCAGTATAGCTGACCCTTGAACAACACAGGTGTGGAATGCACAGTCCACTTACACATGGATTTTTTATAAAACAGTACTTTTTTTTACATAACACACTTTGTGCATAAATATTTTTTACATAAATACTGAATGTATTCTCTCCCTTATACTCTTATTAATAACATTTTCTTTCCTCTAGCTTCCTTTATTGTGAGAATATAGTATACAATAAATATGACATCACATACATGTTAATTGACTGTTTATGTTATCGGTAAGGCTCTGGTCAACAGTAGGCTTACTAATAGTGAAGGAGGCAGTCAAAGGTTATAAGTGGATTTTTGACTGTGGGGGAAGGGTAGTATTGGCACTCCTAAGCCCTATGTTGTTCAAGGGTCAACTGTAGTTAAGAACGGGCTCCAGACCGGGGCACCTGGGTGGCTCAGATGGTTAAGCGTCTGCCTTCAGCTCAGGTCATGATCCCAGCGTCCTGGCATCGAGCCCCGCATCGGGCTCCCTGCTCAGCGGGGAGTCTGCTTCTCCCTCTCCCTCTGCCTCTCTCCCTGCTCATGCTCTCTCTCTCTCTCTGTATCTCTGTGTCTCAAATGAATAAATAAAATCTTTAAACAAAAATAAAAAATTAAATAAATAAATAAAAAAGAACGGGCTCCAGACCTAGGCCATGGGTGGCCCTTGACAAGTTCCTTCTTCTATCTGTGTCTTTCTACAGCTGCAAAAGGGAGGTGATAATAGCACCTCCTTCCCTCCCTGCCAGAGTGGTCGTATGAACTGCTACTCATGAGTCTGGCGCACCAGGCTCTGGATATGTCATGTCCTCTGTGGCTACTATTATGGGGGTGGTGGTTCCTGCGATTAGTCCCAGTGACAACCCCAGCCCTATAGGAATGATCAACTTCAGTAAAGGAGGTGAGCCAACTCTGATTCTGGGCACCAAATGACGGGGGCAAGAGGGGAGGGGGCCTAGCTGGGAGGGACGGGGCCATTTCTGGGCTCCCCGGGCAAGGAACAGTGGGTGCTGGGGACAAGGGCCTCCCCTCTTCTAAGGAGCATGGGTTAGGGAGGTAAGAGGACGCGAGCCCAGTGTGAACCGGGCTGGGTGGATCTGGGGACCCCCTGTTCCCTCTGGCGGCCGCCGGCTCACCTGCCTCAGCCCGCGGTCCCGGGAAGCGCCGTTGCCAGGCGACCGGGTTGCCAGGCTACCCCGCGGCGTCTGCAACACCCGCCGCGCAGGCGCGAACGGCCCCGGAGCCGGGACCAGCTGTAAAGTAGGGACAATGATGCTTTACAGGGTTACCGTGTGGAACAAAGACGGCTCAGCTTTGTTCATGGTACAAAAGGGAAGCGAAGTGATTGTACTTTTTCTCTGAATTGAACACTGCATGCCTTTAATCCTCAGAGTAAACTCGGGAAGTGATAATGTCCAGTTTACAAACTTCAGAAAGGTTCACTAGCTTCCCCCAAATTACACTGGCCTGATCCCTGGACAGTCTAGCCCTGGCCCATGCTCCTTCATCTACAATCTGATTACCTGCTAATGACATAGCTCGCCCCTGCAGTGGAGCAAACACACTACTGGCTGGAGCAATTGTTCTTAAAAGCAAGCCAGACCCAGGCATCACCTGCATAAAACTCTCCCATGGCTTCCCACTGGTCTCAGGACAGACTCCAAACTCCTAGCCTGCTACTCAAGGCCCTGAGTCATGGCCTCCTTCAGCCATGCTGGATTCTTTTAATTTCCCAAATGGTCAACTCTTTCTTGCAGCCTGAGCTGCTTGTAACACTAACCACTTCTTTGTCCTTCAAGACACAGCTTGGTGTACACTTCTTCCATGAATCCTATCCTCTCCCCAACTCCAAATTAGTAAATGATCCCATAGCTTAATTATCCCATTGGCACACTTCCTCCTTTAATTCTCTATTTATTTCTGTTTCCCTCAGCAGACTCCAACTTCCCTGAGGGTGGAGGCCTTGTCAGTCCTGTTTACTTGCCTTTCCAGTACCAGGAATATACTAGAAGTTTCAGTCAATATAGAATAAATGAATGGTTAATGGACTTGAATCAAGAATTATAATCTACAAATCACTTTCACCACCTCGTGTGATCCTCACAAAGAACCCTTGAAGTTGATAGTCACATCCATTTTATAGCTGAGTAAACTGAGGCTCAGGAAGAGGTAGAGCAACTCACATAAGTCCACCCCCTAAGCCTGAGCCCTTAGCACTGAAACTTAACTAACAAAGGCACCAAGCATTAGCCTCCAGCACAATTAGCTTTAAAATGAAGATAACTTAGATCAGTGTGCCCAGGATCCCATATTGTGATGTGGAGATCTGCCCCCTACTGTGGTTCTTCAAAGGACCTAGTCACAAAGGATCTCTAACCCAGAGCCTCCTAGCTCTTTTAGGAAGGCGGTGTGGAGAGCACTGGACTAGGAGTCAGGAAATCTGGTTTCCAATTCTAGTTCTAACTCACTGGGCAAATTCTTTTGATTTTGTGAGCCTCAGGTTCCCTGTCTGTGAAATCAGGGAGCTGAATCAAGTAGATTCTCAAAGCTGGGAACCCTGGGCCTTTCAGAATCTGGTAATAGAGTCTTTTTTTTTTTTTAATTATGCTTCAGTTTTATTATTTTTCAATCTCCATTTTGTTATCTAATTTTAAAGATACACACAATATTATATTAGTATATATGTTAATTATAAAACATATAAATATAATAATTACATGTGAATTCACCACCAGAACATTATCAATGCCTGCATCCTCTTCCCCTATCTCATACCATCATTGTAGGGACAATGATGCTTTACAGGGTTACTGTGTGGAACAAAGACGGCTCAGCTTTGTTCATGGTACAAAAGGGAAGCGAAGTGATTGTACTTTT